TATATATATATATATATATATATATATATATATATATCTATCATTATTATTATTATTATTATTAATACCTTCGGTGTATAGGACGCCAGCTGATTTTGTCATCAAATTTCGGAGTAAGACGTGCGTATTAAAAGATGCAGCAAGCACAAAATAACCTCAGGAATCTTGTCAAGGAAACAAAACAAAAAAAGACATACAACGTCAAAGTAAAAATTTGGTCACATGTTCTTTCTTTTCATTCCGTTTCTTCACATCACAAAACAAATCATGTTTTTTTTTTAAATCATAAGGCTTTTTAAAACATTTATTAAAGAATAATCGATTATTATATGAGTTGTTTGTGTTACACAGGGTTGCAAAATAGTTTGCAGTGGGATCTACTGACAGAACTTCAAGAAATGTTTGAAAAAAAATGAAAGAAAGAGTTCGACAAGCCAATAACTGCATTGTTGAAGCATTGCAATGTTTCTAATTGAGATTAATCAATAGTTGAAACCTTTAACAACGGTAAAACTGCTCATGAAAACGTTCATAATTTACAAAAGTTCGTCAACCGATTTGTCTGTTTTTTTTTCTGTTTTTTTTTTCAAACAAAATAAAAAAATGAATTAACAAAAAGAATAAACAAGTTCGTAATTTGATAATAACATTATTTAGCGCATAACATTAAAAAGCAACATTTAAAAAGTAAGATACAAACGGTAATGTTTTTTTTCTCTTTCTTTTTATTTCTTTATTCAGGACTTCTCTGTCAAACAAAATGTTCGCCATTTAGGAACCTTGACAACAGACGCTGGATCTACCAATATCGACATTCTGATGATTCAAGTAACCATTTTTTTTCTGCAGATGCTTTATTTTATATCGCCATAGGTAGTAACCCAGTGAAAACCGTACGTTCTTGAAACGTTCAAGTCACATTGCTTTTTGGTTGGGGGATATGTGACGCTTATGGGAACGTTAGTGAATCAACTGTTTTCCTGAATCCCAAACTTACCGCTCTTCCCAACTGTTGTCATAAAATTATGGTGACGTTACAACGAGTTGTAGCCGAAAGATTTCTGACAGGTTAAATCTCAGGTAACAATGAAAATTCTCACAACGTTGCAAACACGTAGTATTTTGGTTAGGAGGTGGAGATGTATAACGTTCCAAGCAACCTTGTTCCAGACCCCAAACTGATCGCTCATCCACAACGTTGTCACAATGTCATGGTAACAATTTACGCAATTTATATTTGGGCTATCATCTTCATCTTTGCTATCACGACGTTTTGGTTTTTGTGTCTTCATCAAGTATATATCGATACTAGTAACCTACAGGTAATTCCGGACTGAAGTCTTTATTTAATCAATGGATGTAGACCGTTCTTGTTCCTCTATCCAGGCCTAGGATAATCTAATTTAATTCTTATTTTTAGTAGTCCATCGATTTGTTTCCAGTGAATCTACGTAAACCCTTAAATAAATTGAAAACAAAAAGCTTTCTTTCCCCATTCGGTCAGTTTTAGATCAACTGGAGTGACAAAGTGTAATCGATTTCTATTTTTTCCTCAGATTACATCATTTGCAGTGATGTGCAGTAATATGAATCTATTTTCGGTGTGTATGATGAAATTTTTTGGCCCTTGAAAAATATTGCGTCATCCGTGATTGCATCAAATTTTATCACGTCGAGACACTATTGTCTCGACTGTCGATTAGTTCTCCTACGGCCATCGTCTGCGATGGACGCTACGTCAAGGAAGCGTAAGAAAATTGTAATGCTGCACAAACACACTGGAAAGACTTACCAGTGAGTAAATCAAAGTACTATAGATTGACTTAGAAACTCTCCTGATTTAAATCCAATCAAGAATCTGTTAATTTGCAAGGAACGACTTTATTGAATGGACATACGAATTACTAACATGTGCACTGGGTCATGTTTCATTGGAAAAATACGAAAAAAAAAAATCATAACGGAATTATTCGTTTTGTTTCAGTTTATTTGCACAAGGGTGTACATACTGCCAAACCCAGAGATTGAACTCGCAATCACTATGTCACCAAATTTAAGAAACAACGCTTTCATTTAATTTAAGATATTGTCTCGTAGGTTGGGTTAGATTAGGCTCAACGGTCCAAGTTCACAACAGAATTTTTTACGGAGGAATAGCCTAGTTGGTGCGTGAATTTGGTAGCTTAGTAATAAATTGTCCCTGAACAGGACAGTGTATACTTGGCGAGCAATAGTATTACTGAGAAATACTAAAAACAATAATGAGACGTGATATTCCTAAACAAGGGCGGTGGAAAGAGAACAGTCTACTCACGTGGATTAAATAAAGCGTTCAATTGGAAAGTCCCTTAGATTACCCGGATTGATATAAACCTGATTAAAACCAGGTATGTTCAACAGCCAAAATGTGATAGCAACGACAAAGATGAGGACAATAATCCGAATGTAAATAGTGTAAATAAGGCTAACTTCTCATCCCAGAAATACAGACAGATGTTATGGTGAAGTTGCGAGTTCATGTGAGTGTAAAATTGCGAAGAGGTCAAATAACAACTGAATATTTTTTCTCCACTTAACAATATGTAGATAAGTTATAAACTTTCTTTGTGTGTGTGTGTGTGTGTGTGTGTGTGTGTGTGTTTGTGTTTGTTTTATTTGCCTATCCTTCATTTAGATGTTGAATATACGGTCTAATATTTTCCTGGATGTATATATCAGTTTTATGTTAATATAACGTTAAAAGGAAGCGTATTTGCAACGTTACAAGGTAAGGTTGCGGGTACTTTGTGAAGCGTTTCTTTTCAGCTTCTAACATTGTTTAAACTTTACAGGAACGTTATTTTGTTAACTCGGATTAACTACTAACCCTGTCTTATAGTATTTTTTTAATGCATCTATCTTTTATGAAAATGTTACCACTAATAAAAGACAGAGTCATATTTCTGTATTAGGTTTCTAAAGTGATTGACGTGTGTTTTTGTATGGAAATAAATTCACATAAAAGAATGGCACAGGTGAGTCATTCTAGATTACAGATCTCATCTAACCTACGAGATTTGATACGTAAACAACGCTCTTTTACACATGCACCAGTGAAGGCTTCTACGTAGCTCGGTCAAAAAATGTCTGTTCTATAATCACGACAGATTTAACTGTGGAGACACACAAAACATAAATAAAGTCTCAGGTTTGCAAAACTAGTCTTTAATAACATCTTTCCATTTCAATCTTCGTATTTCACCTCTGAATGATATTCACCTATCGCGGAGAAATATCTGATTCCTTAACAATGTACGAGTTGCTTCTTTAGTCTTTTTCATAGATTTGTGTAGAGGCAACTGGAAAAGCTTATGTGTAAAGAACGTTTTATGTTCTCTAGAATTCTGTCAGCATTCCGAGAATCAACTTAGTAGCTCAGAGTCTACACTAAACATGGTTCCTGTTATATACGGTACCTATGAACACTAATGGTTATGTCCCGATCCTACGTTGGATACTATTGTAAGTTGGGGTAATATTCTGTCTAAGTAGTCCATTGCTAGCAGTGGTTTACCTACTTCACGCCGCTGGAGAGTATTGTATTTTTTTGATATTATAAAGATTACCATTTAATTTCCAACCTCCGTTTTAGTTATTCCTCATTCAGTAATCTTTCCTAGGTTACAACAGTTCTCCTGGAGGCCTTCGCAGACTTTTAGAATAGTGGTTCTTTCGTCAGATTTAATGAGAGCATTAGAAGGTTTGGGCATCAGAATTCATACAGAAGTATGCCTGCCACTACGTGGCTTCTTACTAAGGTCAGTTGTTCCTTTTTTCTCTAGAAATACAATTAACTGACATATCCATTTACTGTGCAGCCTAATTTCTTGTGACTATTTACAACACTTTCTCTGTTGAAAAAAAAAAAGAATTATGCAGAAGCTCGTTGCTTTTCCGTGTGTCCAGAGATTCAAGATTATGATAAAGAAAAAAGATAAGTTAACTTTACGAAATATTCTTTTGGACTTATATATCATTGATAGTTTTAAAAAATAGCAATTCTAATAGTTTCATAATTAGATTTGAATAAGTGTTACTTTTCGACCGACCCTTTTCTATCAGTCTATCAGTAACATTGCAATACTTGGAAGCAAACAGATTCATGGAACAAGTGCTTTAGATTAAATACATAATAATGGTTTGCGACGAAAAAGAAACAACAAATAATGAAGTAAAGTTTCTTTGAGTTGAATTCGTTCTTTCGTTAATTCTTTGATTGTGTCAGGCTGTATTTCCCGCCATGGGGTAGACACCGGTTTCAAACATACAACCAATAAGTTAGCAATGAAAACTTAGGAATAAAGTTCATCAATTATGACATGGCTGCGTATAACTGTGCATTTTGTTTTAATATTTTAACATTGTTTTGATTTTAATCATAATTTAATCATTTGAAATCATATTTGTTACATTCTAGTCATTTAGACACCCCAAGGCAAAAAAGGGACTGTTAAGTGTTAGTCTAGTGCCGCTAGTCCATCCCTTGTCGTATATTTCACAGGGTAATTATGGGAGACTTATTATTTTAAGATGCGTCTTATATAACGAGAAATACTGTAATTACAGTCAAAAAGAACAAATAGATTTCAGTATGTCGCTTTCATTTGTAGTCCAGACGGATCATTTTCTAAAAGATATCAATATGAATATTCCACGATGAGGAGGATTCATTGGTTAATTTATTGATTCTTTTTTTACTGCTTATCAATCTTTTGCCGCCTATTTAAAATCAGAAAATATTTTTAGTAGCGATAATTTTTTGGTGCGGGGAGATAATACTGATTTAGTGACACAGGTATTATTACTTAACCCATAGTTTGGGGAAAAGAGGTGGCTTAATAACTTTCCTGAGATTACTTACACAAAAGGGTATATAACGAACCCAACTGGAATTGGAACTCAGATCTCTGATTAACAATTCCGAGCTACTATACATTGAAATAATACCCGCACATCCAAACTTACAGCCCCTGGCATTGCCAAACGGTCGCCCATATAGGTACTGACCAGCCTCGACGTTGTTTAACTTCAGTGATCGTACGGGAACCAGTGTTTCAACGTGATATCACCGTAAGCAATTCCAACCGCACATTCAAACTTACAGTACCTGAAATTCCCAAGCGGACACGCATCTAGATACTGACCAGCCTCGACGTTGCTTAACTTCAGTGATTGTACGGGAACTAGTGTTTCAACGTAAGCATTTCCAACTGCACATCTAAGCTGACAGCGCCTTGTATTCCCTAGCGGACACGCATCAAGGTACTGACTAGACTAGACGTTGCTTAACTTCGGTGATCGTACGGGAACTGTGTTTCAACGTGATATGGCCGTAAGCCCATGATGATAAGGGGGATGTTAATGGTGATTATGATGATGTCATCGTCACTTCCTCAGCATACACCGACATGGAACATGAAATTGCACTTGTAGATTTTGAAGACATGACTTTTGTATATTTTCAATTGAAGTCCGCATGGTTCCAGAGTCAAGACAAACGTCAAGCCTGTTGGTAACAGATTGGGCTGCAGTGAATAAACAGAGTGCTGTGTGTCCGGATAGGTTTTACACGGTGTCTAACACAGTCTTAGTTGCCGCCTTTCTATCCATTAAACCAGCGCAGTCCGGCGATTCCCTTGCTCACATATTCGGCTTATCAAACCTTAACTTACCAACGTTTTGATTCTTATTTTTACTAATTATGTTGGTTAAGCGAGAAGCATTTTACTTAAATTCATATAATTATTAAAAAATAATTTTTAAATAAAGCAAAATGTTGCTTCCTGTGAACCGACACCTTTTTTACTTTCGGTCATTTTAACATCGCCGACAAACTGTTATCTCTTTTAACGAGGAAATCCCGAAACTAGCTAGCATTAGGTAACCACCTTTTTTGGTCCCTCATCCAGACAGTAGCCTAGTCTCACTTCAGTTCCGGCGAACGCGCATGCCCCGTTCGCAAACTGCTTAATGTCGATCCAAGATTACCGGGACTGTTGTCATTTGCGATATTCGAACCCTTAGGGCTTGATATCTAAGCAATTGTTCTCAACAAAATCACCGCTTCCTAAGTAAGATTATTCATCGCCATAAAATACCATTTTCTTTTTACAACTTTTTAGATTTTAAGTTCTTTCAAGTAAGACTGAAATTGAATGCCAACAATACGTAGATAATTAAAACAAGTCAATACATAGAGACAAGAAAAACAGAATTATATATACAGACAGAACCTGCTGTAATAAACAGAACAATAAATAAACACCATCGACATTTTTCGTCAGTTATATGACGTTCATTGTTGTGATTAAGTTGAAGCTTAGATGTGATGGTTAACAAGAAAATTAATCCAGTACATTCAACCATTTTGAAATAAAGTTCTTTTCATCTGATTTCTTTTTATTGGAATTGGCTGGCTTAGGAATAGCCAGAACGTTCTTGACTCCGAACTGTATACGGATTTAAAACTTTTATTTTTTTGTATTAGCTCATAAAGGATACGAAACATTATGAAGTTAGCGGTACAGCAAACAAACCTAAGCATTTCGTATTGATGTATAGTGTCACTTGTTGTTTTCTACGGGCTGGAGATGAAGTCTTTAGAACATGTTCGATCCATGTACTGAAATAGCAACTTGAATGGGTCTCCTTCTAGTTAGTTTTTATATGACAATGTTGTACGTTTAGGAATTACTGGAATTTACTTTTTAATAGCATTATACTAAAATGAAATAAAATAAAATAAAAATGTCGTTTAATTGATTAATTTTTAATTTCCGCAAATAAGCCATTCTAAAATGGCAGCTGCAAAATTCAGAAATAATAAAACATTATTTCCAAGGAGGTAAAAAAAACTGTAACGAAATTTCTGGTTGATGTGAACAGATAATCGGAATCTATTTGAAAGAGTGGGATCTTTTGCAAACAAATATTATCTTTAGCGAAACAACTTTACTCACTACATCGAGGTTGTTTGTTTGTGTGTTTGTTTGTTTTGTTTGATTCGGTTTGAGTTGTATTTTTAATCCCCTTAAAAATAAACAAACAGAGTTTTATTTCCAGTGATTCCAATGTTGTCAAAAGAAACTCCATCGACGAGATGAAATTCAGTTTGTAAGGTCTATTTCACGTCTATATCTTGGATCCTTTTTTTTTTTATATTGGTCGACGTAAAAATGTTTTGCTATGTTTATAGAGAATTTTCCCTCCATTTGTAAAGAAAGGTACAGATAACAATTCGTTTATTTTTTTTTATTTATTTTTTATTTTTTGATTGCGTCAATATATTTGAAGATGAAAATAACAGATTGGACACTGTAAATCGTTTACCAGCGTTCTGGATTTCTTTCTGTGATATATTTTGCCTTGATTGTTCTATTCGTAACTGTGGAAGCTATTTCAAGGTCTGAGCAAACGATACTAACACTATAGAAATAGAACAGAGTCTTTTAGATATAAATTACTTAATCTTTGAGAAAACAAAAAAAATTAAATGCCGTCAGGTTGGTTCGAGGCTAAGCAACAAAATGGATACGGGAAAAAGTAAATATTTTAGAAAAGATCCGAAATCTTGAGTTATATAGAGTCAACATTAAAGGAATTGTTATGAATAATCAAGAGTGGTCCCCCCTGTTTTGTTACTCTCCTCTTTGAGAGAACTATTTCTGCTTACTTGGACCATAAAAGAACACTTCTCAGAAATTGTAATGACAAAAGTGCGCAGGTGTAGGCTTTAAGAAAGCTTTATTTAACTGAGAATACAGCGTTTGCGTATAGTGTCCTTCTATAGTCCCAGTAAACAGAAATAGTACTCTCAAAGATGAGACTAACGAAACTAGTGGAGACCACTCTTGATTGTTCATAATAGGGATTTCTTCTCTTTTTGTAATATGTGGATCAACAAACAAATAAATGCATTATTTATCATCTAGTTTTAAGTAGAGCACAGCTGGGGAACGGGAAGGCATTCTGTGTTACAATATCAACATAGACAATGTTTAGAGTTAAATCATTTGTAAGTAATTAAAGATAATAATTTCTATATAAGTGTATTGAGTAAGTATATTTATAAAATGGCTGAATGTGATATAGACTCCGCTCCAGAAAATATATTTACGCATATAGCCGTGAATATGTGACAGAAAATGCTTTTAAAATGTTCTTTTTAAATAAAATTTAAAAAATATTTCTATTGTGCAAATTAATACCCGAGCAAGCCTGTCATTTTCTCCGCACGATTGCTATTTAGTTTGACAAATGCAGATATTGAGCGTTTAGTATTCAGACAAGGAAGCTAATTAGAAATATATATATATATATATATATATATATATATATATATATATATATAATTAATTGTGTGTTTGTGTGTGTGTGTGTTAAAAAGAAGAGAGAAACCGCAAATGTTTTTGGTTGTAATGTGGATTTTTAAAGAAAAATATATTATGCTTTATTTTCCATAATTTTGTTACACGAGTTTCCGGTCTCGCCACCTTCACCAGGCAAAGCGTGGAGATTTCCACATAATATTAAAAATAATTATTTTTTTTTATGTTTTTCGATATTAAAAATTCCGGATATGAGATAAACTCTTTTTTGTGTGTTAGTGGTGTACTGATTCCTTGTAAATTGGGAAGTATATGTATATGTATGTATGTATGCACGTGTGTATGTGTTTATACTGATTCCTTGTAATACGACAGTATGTGTATGTAGAGAGGAAGTGCGCGTATAGATACGCATGCTGATATATATATATATATATATATATATATATATATATATATTTATATATATATATATATATATATATATATATATATATATTGGCAAGAACAAAGGGTTCACGCGAACACTTCAAAGCATAGGATGTCATTGTTTGTGTGTGTGTGTATGTGTGTATGAGTGCAAATGTGTTTACTAATTCCTCGTAATAAGACCGTGCGTATGTATGGAGAGGGAATATGCATATACGCATGCTGACAAAAACACAAGAAAATGAAAATAGATTTAAGAACACACATGGGTCATTAAAAGATAAGAATGCCGATAACACCTTCAACATTTCTCGGACCAATCTTAATTGTTTTATAACCCTTCCCGCAGAACTTTTCACTGCCAATTAAGGAAGACATTTGGGCCACTAACAGCGAAAAACATAAGAAAAAATTAATTATTTTTGGCAGATGAAGGTCGCGGGACCAGGAACCCGTGTAGCAAAATTATGGAAATGTAAAGCATAATATTTTTTTTAAAAATCCACATTACAACCTAAAACATTTGCGGTTTCTCTCTTCTTTTTAATATACACACTTTTCTCTTGTTGGTACTACTATAAACTCTTGCTTTATATATATATATATATATATATATATATATATATATATATATATATATATATATATATATATATATATAGATAGATAGATAGATAATATTAGTGGTAAATATACATACATATGCAAAATATATAAATACCCATACATGTATATTTTCAGAAAAAAAATTCAAGAGGAAGAATCCAAGTAGAACTCAATGTCTAGGACAGAGTAAGGATATAATAAAAGGCTTAAACACTAATATTCCATGGTCTTAATTTATTCCATTGGAATCGTAAATACGATCAAAATCATCAGACCTAAAAATTCAAAATGAATTTGTAGGTCTGATGAATTGGATCATGTTACGATTCCAATGGAATAAATTATGACCATGGAATATTAGTGTTTAAGCTTTTTTTATATATATATATATATATATATATATATATATATATATATATATATATATATACTGCAGTTCAAAAGTTTGAGTTCACCTCCATAATTATCATGAGATTTACTTGACTGAACAGTGAAAAAAATGACAAGAGCTCTTACAGTCATTGAAAAAAAAATGAAATCAATTATCAAAATTAAACTTTTGTCAAATCTTGAGACCAATGCTAAACATTTGTGTTGCAATAATCAAAGCTAAAGGAGGATATTTTGACGAGAGCAAAATTTCTCATTATTTTTTTTAATCATATTAAAATTTCTAATAAAAAAATCACGTGTCACTCTTTTTAAGCATGTATAATAATTTTCTCTTATTTAAAATACAAAACAACTACTTTTGAAGTCAATTGAAAAAAAAAAATAACAGGGTGCCCTCAGTCTTTGAACTGAAGTAAATATATATATATATATATATATATATATATATATATATATATATATGAAAAAGTTTCAAATTAAAAATTATAATGTTTTTTATTTTATGAAAGTATTTATTTATTTATATATAAATAAATAAATACTTTCATAAAATAAAAACATTATAATTTTTAATTTGAAAC